CGGTCCGCGGGGCAGGGCGGAGGGGGAGGGGCGTGGAGACCGGGAGAAAAATAAGGGAAACGACGGGGGCGATATTGCCGGCCGCTATATGATGATGTCGGTTGTAACGCACGCACAGGAAGCCAGGCACATTAGCGAAACGCGTTCTGTCCACGGGATAATTCACGCCGCGTCACGACACACGCGTGCACTCGCGGCGGGTATAATTGCAATTGTAAGTGTAGCCCGGGCCCGGTGTGCGTTGCCGCGAGAGAGCGATAGCCCTGTCAACGAAACGAGATACGCTTACGCGCTGGATCAACGATGACTACGATATGTCCTGCGAACGCGATATCGCGTAATAACTCGCATCGCGATAACGGCGTCGCATTAACGTTACGCTTTTATAACGTATCAAGGCCGACAGATTTAATAATAGATATATAAAGGTCGGCGCGCGGATTTTCGAGAGGAATATGATAGGATCGCGCTAGAAAATCGCAGTCACAATCAACAGTAAAGTGACGTTCCTCCTTTAAAATATTATCCGTTTATTTTTATTACATTCTTGACGGGAGAATAAAGTTTCGACATAACGTATCTTTCATAAGAATACCATGATTAAATTTTAGATAACGTTTACGAGGTTTACATTCGCAATTTTTGCAAAGTTCACATGTCACAGATCCTTTTTATTATTACAAACGGAAAAGTTTTAGGACAAGATAAAAAACTTATGACGAATTAAAGGAAATGGAGAGTCTTTCCTTCTCCAAATGCGAAAAATTTTTCTCTATTTGAGAGAACCGAATCGAGCCATATATCGTCAAGCAACATACGTTTTTTTTTTTTTTTATTGAAAAAAGCGAATATTTTTTGCGGATAAAAGTTCGATGGGAGCAGAGTAGTAGAACCATAATCGGTAATAGGTAGGACGTTCTAAAAATATCGGCCCATCGACGAACGAAATTCCGATAGCGTCATTCAAGAGAAGTGCACGAAAATATTCGCGGCGGCAGCCACCGTCACGACATGCATGCGCCGATGCAATAAATTTGTTTTATACGGCACTTCGACAGGCAAAAACGAACACGGGCATAAGTTATGAACACTTCAAAATTGCACACAAGGAAGAAGAACGTGGTTCGCTTGGCTCACCAAATTTTTTCGTCAATCTCTTTCGGAACCTAAGGCATCCAAGATCGTCACAAAGCGAACTTTTGCGAAATCGACCGCGAAAAGTTATATAGAGAAATTTAAAAAATAATTAAAGGAATCTTAATATAATCCTGTTTGTTAAAATTAGACAAGCGTGTGAGATAGAAGAAAGAAAGACATTATTTAAATGTAGTGAATTAAATCGGAAAGATTTTGGAAAAGTGAAAAATATTTTCGAGAATAGCATATTGCAACCGAGTTCTTCCTAAATACACTTCAAATTATTCTTTTGCCATTTTTTTAATAGCTTGAAAAAAAATGTATTCGTGGGATCTCTGTGGAAAAATTGAAATGGCTAACTTTTATGTCACGATCGAGATAAAGTCTCGCGACAGCGAGACTCACTTCCCAAATGGTGTCTGAATTTAGAAAGTTTATAACTGCATCTAGCATCCTTGAAATGTACTTCGATCGTGACGTCATCGGAGATGCATATTTACGAGATACACTTCCGCCGTAAACTGCGCGTGCAACCATTACGATTTGAAGAAGCCGTCACGATAAAGTTCCATCGAGCCGCTACATCTTCTTGACTCTTTTACATTGTGCACGCCCCTTTCCATCGCCGTGCACTCGTTTCTGTCTCAAGAAAGTGCCAGCTGCATAATTTTGCAACACCGCCGTTGCAACACGATAGACGTATAAGAGCCGACAGATGTCCCATCTCGTGCTCGGTCACGTCATCCGGTTGTCATTCGTTTACAAAATGGCTCGCTGTTTTCATTTTCTGTTCCGTCGACCTTCCGTACTTACCTTAATTCTAACATGGAGAGGCATCTCACGTGCCGTCTAACTGAACGTTTCCTCACACATTTTATACTAACAATTTCAATCTATTTTATTCGAGTTTGTCAAGTTTCTACTTAGATATTATAATTCACGATAACTTCCAACTTAAGATTTAGTTATATACATTATTTATTTAAATAACGTTATATAAATAACATATATAGCTAAATCTGAAGTTTGGATTTATTACATACATTAATTACATAAAATATAATTACATAAACAGAGTAGAGTTTATGTAAACGTTGCCGGTTTATACAAAATTTATAAATTATTGTTTACGATTTTATACGCGACGATGCGAAGTAACATTAAATGTGTATATCCCATGCGAACACAAGACCTTGAACATTTCCAAAGACAATTACAGGTCGATAGTACCTATAATCGTTGGTTAACATTTGACCTTATAGACACGCAGCAAGGCGCACGCACGAAAATAAGAGAAGCAGAAAATTACCTTGAAAAGGTACATAAGTAATATATCCATAGCGGTATTTTACAATGGTAAACTATTATTGAACTTTCGAAACCCTTTTCTCGCAACGAGATAATATAAAGTAATAATTGCCTATCTCGCGAACGGCTCTTCAAATAATACATATAAATATCATAATGCGTAATGTGCCATGTATACACATCATGAATCATTGTGCATTTGTGTAATGACGCCAGAGTGAAGCGCATTTAATTCGACGATTTACATATGATGATTAGATGATTAATAGCTCGTGAAAATGGTAATTACGCTCATGAATCAACAATCTAATGCAAATTAATAGTACGATATAAAACGAGAATGACAGACATTATATATGTATTAATATTACACATATGTAATATTACACATATTATAATTAAGTTTGCTGCAGTTCAGTTAATTTCGTGATTGGTAACGTTATCAAACATATGAGATATTTTGACAATATCCGATCCGCTATTTCATCATATTTCTTATTAATTAGTTTGGTTTTTCATACGTACAATAAAAATATCAACAAATATCAATTTTAATTTGATTTTTAATATTGTCAATTGTCTAAAGACGATAATCTTACTATTGTCAAACTTTTGCAAAAATATAAACGTTTATTCTACCCTGCAAACATGAACATATAGACAGATAGTTAACTATCAGGGGTGCAAGATCTTGATGCTGTGAAAACCGGTAGCAACATAACGCGCAGCTGAAATAGGTCCCTGGTTGCCATAAAATGAGAAAGAATCGACCCCCAGATACGAAGAGTTTTTCACCCAGGGTGCAGTAAGCTATCCGTTGGTAAGGAGGTAAGGGTGCGCCTTAGGGAGTACTTTCGAAGTGTCTGTTTCTGGAAGGAGAGAACGGTAGCGCGGATCCGGAGGGTTGGTAGAGGCAAGGGTTTGCCAGTGAAAACTCAAGAAACGCTTTTACGTCTCGGTAATTGAACTCCGCTATATGTGTGTGCCGAAAGATGGCTGGGCCGGGTTTATACGCCGACTGTTCAAGACGGGGCGAATAGTATTTCCAAAAAAATTGTGAAAGGCGTAAAAGCGTTATTTGAAGGTAGAAATCGCGAGTAGGGCCGTGTAGAATAGAAGATAAAGTTCGAGTCGATATGCGAACAGGGTGAAAATAGGTCAGCCTGCTTAATCCGCGAGTATATACGTAGCGTATCAAGCCCATAAGAACGTCCCGAAGGACCATGGTTAGGGTATCCTGACGTAGGGTCCCACGCGGCGAACATGTTGACGGTAGCATAGTGATAGAGGTCGGCGTATGGGTGCACCGAAAAGTGGTAGAAGGTGACTAAAGGTATGGAACGTATGTTCGGCCACGAGACGTGCGCAGAATGCGTTGTGCCTGCCACAAAACGTTCTGTCGCGCGACTATGTTGCGAGCTCATCGCTGTACAACGAAGCCATATATTCACACGTAGCTTTAGCTACCCTAATATACGTATGTACCATTTACATCTACTGAGAGAGAGAGAGAGAGAGAGAGAGAGAGAGAGAGAGAGAGACACACACA